AAGCTACCAGCACGACTATGTTTATTGCAGCACTATTTACTATAGCTAAGATATGGAACCAACCCAGATGCCCCTCAGTAGATGATGAATGGATCAAGAAAATGTGGTATATATACACAATGGAATTCTATAGTTGCTTTTAAAATGAGAGAGTCCATCGAAACTAAAGTGTATTTTTAAGAAAAAACAATATTTGAGCATACAAGCCAGATGTTTCCACATTAAATGTTGGATATCTTTATTTATTTATTTTGGTCGGTCATGGGGCTTGAACTCTGGTCCTGGGCGCTGTCCCTCAGCTCTTCAGCTCAAGGCAAGTGCTCTACCATTTGAGCTACAGCGCCACTTCCGGTTTTCTAGTGGTTTATTGGAGATAGGAGTCTCATGGTCTCTCCTGCCCGGGCTGTCTTTGAACCACGATTCTCAGATCTCAGCCTCCTGAGTAGCTAGGATTACAGGCGTGAGCCACCAGCGCCTGGCTGGATATCTTTTATTAATAAGGGGATACAAAACTCTTGAGAGAACAAGAAGCGATTCCATTCAGTTGCACACCAGAATTGCTTAGACTGGAAAGCCCCATATTAAATCACATAGATTATAAGGACAGGGTGACAATCATGGAATTAATCTCTAAGAAAATTTTTGATTTTCAATCCTTTTCTAAGAAACTTTTCACTAAGGAAAAGAAAAAGACCAATAATGAAACATTCTCAAGAGGACTAAAGAAAGAGCACGTTTCCTGGCTCCATTTAACCTTCATGTTTTTTCTCTTTCTGCTTCCATTAATAACAGTCATTATCATTTCTTTTCTATAATGATTGGGGCTTTTATTCTACTTAGAATAGTTACTTGCTTTTTAAAATGATTAAGCTGCAGATTTTGTACAATTTATTTACAGTGTTTCCCTAGTGGGCTCACCACCTGACTATTGTTCTTGATTTAACCCTTTTACCTCCATTCACTGATTTTTCCAAATAAGGAATAAAGTACTTTTACAGAAGATTTGTAGGAGCTCAATACATAGTCCAATGTAGGAGGCCACAGCAGGAGGGTCACTTGAAAATAGGACTAAAATAGGCAGTATATCAATATCCCAACTTTGTAGGGTACCTTTAGATTTGTGTACCTTCAGCTCCACTAGTTCTGCTTTGGCGTTCATACTTATGTAATGATAGAGTTGTGGTGATTGATTTGTTATGTCCTCATGTTCAGTAAATTCATGACCAGCGTTTTAAAGTTAGTATTATTATGATGTCTGTTACTTAGGTGCTCTCATCAGATGTTTCTTCAGGAACGGAGGCTGAGGAGGAAGATGATGGCATGAATGACTTGAATCATGAGGTTATGTCACTAATCTGGAGTGAAGACTTAAGGGTGCAGGATGTGCGAAGGCTGCTTCAAAGTGCACACCCTGTCCGTGTCAATGTGGTGCAGTACCCAGAACTCAGCGACCATGAGTTTATTGAAGAGAAAGAAAACAGGTGAAGACATTTGTTGTCCATTCCTCTGAGGTTTTTCTTACATTGGACACCGATTTATATTTGTTTTCCTTTAGGGTCTTAGCATTTTAAACCCTAAGAACATTAACAAAATTGCTTTGAAGTTAAAACCAACTACTCATTAACTTTTTATTAATTTTATTTTTTTGTTTATTTGGTACCAAGGAATCGAGCATACTAGGCAAGCACTCTACCACTAAGCCACATTCCTAGCCCATTTAAAATTTTTATGCATTATCTATGCATGTTTTCTAAGTGTATTTGGCTTTCAGTGATATAATTATACCCTCCTTAAAATATAACATTGTACTTCAGAAAAGACTAAAACCATTTTGCTGGTAATTACCTTGAGGACTTACAAGCAAAAGAAAACCCTGACTCATTGTCTTTGTCTTAATTAAGAATAGATTTAGAGTTGGGGTTGTGCCTTTAAACTCAGTAGTTCCTTTTACTTTATCCAAAATGTTATAGGAAATTCTCTATTTTTCTCCAGCACTTGATAATTTGCAATCAATATCATATACCTGTGACACTTAAGAGCTGTTGGCTTGGGAACTTCACCTTGTATTTTTTTGTGTTTTTGTTGGTTGTGGGTCCTGAACTCTGGGCCTGGGTGCTGTCCCTCAGATCTTCAGCTCAAGGCTAGCGCTCTACCACTTGAGCCACAGAACCACTTCCAGCTTTTCTGCTTATGTGGTGCTAAGGAATCGAACCCAGGGCCTCATACATGCAAGGCAAGCATTGTACCACTGAGCCACCTTCCCAGCTCTCACCTTGTATTTTTAGATTCTCTTATATTGTTTTCTGCCATGTTTTTGTCATCTGTCCCTGCACTGCCACTGCTGTCTTTTATCTTACGGTACTATTTCAAGGGGAGGTGCTACCACAACAACTTAACCACAGGTGACTGGAGACCTGAGTTAGTTAGAATTTCTCTATTACTGTTTGCTTTCCATATATACCTAGAGATTGGTCACCTGTAAATAAAAATATGTATGGATAAAGAAGTTCAGATTGTATTGCAGTTTTTACGAGAAGGGGCTCCAGAGCCACTGTCTTCTGGATGAGTGTAGATAAATTACTTAACCCGTTGTTGCCTTATTTGCTTTAGCTGTAAGAGTATTCATGATTATGACATTTATACCTGGGGTTGCTCTTTTTACCAAGTGAGTTCTTTTTATACAACATTGAATACTGCCAATAGTTTTTTCCTTTTTTTTTTTTTAGTACCTAATGAGATCATGATGCATCTTACCAGTGCCATTTTAGATTCACGGGATATAGTATTGTTGTCATTACTATGTTAATTTTGTGATTTCTGCAAGATTGAATTGGATAAGGTATAAGAACTCCACCAAAACATTCTGTGGAATGCAGTCTTTTGGGCTTTCAACAGCAAGATTTTCCTTTGTAATGAGCTAGATAGTGGTGGTATTGGGGGTGGTGGTGTGTGTGTGTAATTAGGGAAAAAAATATGTTTTAATAAGCTAGGTGCCGGTGGCTCACTCCTGCAATCCTAGCTACTCAGGAGGCTGAGATATGAGAATCACCGTTCAAAGCCAGCCCTGGGCAGGAAAGTCCATGAGACTCTTACCTCCAGTAAACCACTAGAAAACCAGAAGTGGCACTGTGGCTCAAGCGGTAGAGCACTAGCCTTGAGCTGAAGAGCTGAGGGATAGGGCCCAAGCCCAGAGTTCAAGCCTCATGACCGACAAAAAGAAAAAAAGTTTTAATGAATAGCTTTGTCTGAAGATAAAATATGGGCTATTCCTGCATGTTTTTAAAAAAATATTTTCAAATAAAGCTTTAAAAAGTGTTTCTTAATTATAAATTCCTACTTCTACATTTTTAGCTTTCATCTTGCTTTAGATACAATGCAGAGAATTTCAGGGGAAAAGCAGAAAAAAAAATTCCAGTTAGAGAGGTACCATCTTAACCTTGAACATAACCTGGTATATACTGGTATTATTAGTATTAGTTCGTAAATAAATCCTAGTCACCATGTAAGTGAAATGAATTCTCTGTTTCTTCTAGAGACACAAGAAATCCACTTACCTTCTTTCTGTGCATGCAACCACAGAGGTGATGGCATTCCTGAGGGAGTATTAACATAAAGGATGGAAGGAAGCTTCTGCATAAATTGAGGGCAGACTAAAAATTACATAAGAATGAAACTCAGAAACTTAAGGTTAACATCAATTGGAGTAGAATTGTAAATTTTCTTTGAATACCTAGGATGAATTTGTTTGGTTTGTAGGTCACCCAGGTTTAATTCAAAGCAACATAAAACAAAGAAAATGTGTTTCCCCTTCGAAGTTCCAAGTAGGAGCAAGCATATTAAAAGGAGAACAGTCATGTTTGGGTCGTTCACCTATATCTGTATAGATTTACTTTGAGGTGATTTCATCACACACATTATGCCTCTTTTTGAAATGCCCATGGATTGCATGACAATTCTGCTTTACTTTAACATTTTTTATATGTATTTTAATTGTAGATTGCTTCAGTTGTGTCAACGAACTATGGCTCTTCCAGTAGGACGAGGAATGTTTACCTTGTTTGCATATCATCCTGTTCCAACAGAACCATTGCCTATTCCTAAATTGAATCTAACTGGTATGTTCCGGGCTCAGTGAGAAAGGAAAATATACATGCATAATTGGGTTTGTTTGAATTCTTTTAATTAAAAACAAGAGACTTGCTTCTTGAACATGGCAAGGTAGTGTTTTACTGTAATTCCAGCTACTTGGGAGGATGAGATGTTATCTGTGTTTTTATGGAACCTGAAAAACAGATGGATATAATGTATTCAGTAATATATACTATAGTTTATAATACGTAGAAATATAGCCACGGTGTGTTTTCAATTGCGTAAATTAAGAAATGCAGAGTTTCACTCAGATTTAAAAGTAGCATGCCGGAAATGAGGCAGTAGCTGAAAGGAGAACACATACCCATCTTCCAAGAAAGCCAGTAGAGTTACTGTCAGTTATGTCTTTCGGAGGTAAAGCAACTTTGTAAAATTGAAATAGTTATTGAATCCAATGGAGCACATGGGGTATAGATGATCACTTATCTTTTCGACTGTTTGCGTAAAAGTCTATATACAATGTTTGGGAAGAAAGAAATCCTGTGGGCTGGGGCCATAAGTCAGTGGTAGAATGCCTGCCTAGGAAGCCCAAGGCCCTGAGTTCAGATCCTAGTAACACCAAAAAAACACAAAAAACAAAATAAAACAACAACAAATCCACAAAAGGAATCTTATGTAAAATTGACAGGTGATAAAATGTGTTTAATATGGATGATGTAATATCCTGGTAATGCTTAGGTGCCAGTAAAAAAAAAAAATGAACGTGCAATCATTATGTATTGCTGAATCTTTCTTAGTTCACATGATTTAAATTTTTCCATGATATGGATTCAGTTTTGTTCAAAATATTCTAGTAGGCAAAAAGATAAACAACAAAGCCATAAAAGTAAAAAAGAAAAGGGTTATCTTGTGGGGATTTTTTGGTTGTTGTTTTTTCGGTCATGGGGCTAGAACTCTGGGCCTGGGTGCCAGCCCTCAACTCTTTAGATCAAGGCAAGCACTTTACCTCTTGAGCCACAGCGCCACTTCTGGTTTTCTAGTGGTTTATTGGAAATACAAGTCTCATGGACTTTCCTGCCTGGGCTGGCTCTGAACTGTGATCCTCAGTTCTCAGCCTTCTGAGTAGCTAGGATTACAGGTGTGAGCCACCGGCGCCCAGCTTGTTTTGGTTTTTTGTTTTGTTTTTGAGCAAGGGTTTCAATATGAGGATAAGCTGTCCTTGAACTTGGGATTTTATTCCCTTCTTGAGTGCTAGAATTACAGATGTATACCACCTTGCCTGGCCTGGCCTCCTTTAATTTTAAATTAATTTTGGAAAAATTACTTTATTAAAGTAGTGCCTTTCCTAAGCTGACGTGACTTGGTTATACTTTTGTAAATTACTTCACCTCTTATGTACATGCTGAAGGAATTTTTCACTCTTTTTTCTCATCAATGATCTGCCTTTTTTGAGAAAGTACTGATAAGACCCATAAGACTTATTATGTTATCTAATTCCTCACTTGACTTAGTTTTAGGTATAAAAAGCAAATAGATTGGTTTTACTTTGTGCTTATACTTTGTGATCTGTGTGTATGATGTGTATATCAACACTACAAATATGACTACACGCTTAAAACATGCTCAATGTAAGTTTTTAGAATTCTTCATGTTTTAAAGCGCTAATAAACTTGATAACTTTATATAATTATATTTATTTTAAACATTACTTGAGCTAATATAGGACATTTATTTAATCATTTTTTTGTTTTTGTTTTTGGTCTGGTTGTGGCGCCTGAACTCTGGGCCTGGGCACTGTCCCTCAGCTCTTCAGCTCAAGACTAGCGCTCTACCACTTGAGCCACAGCGCCACTTCCGCACTTCTGGCTTTTTTCTTTTTGCTTATGTGGTGCTGAGGAATCGAACCCAGGGCCTCAGGCATGCAAGGCAAGCGCTCTACCACTGAGCCACCTTCCCAGCCCCTAATATAAGACATTTATATAGAGTTCAGTTTTTGCCTGTACTCAATAATAGATCAAAATCCAAAGAAATGAAGAAAGAAATCAAGCAGGACATACAGCATTGGTTAATTTGTGTTGTTTTAAAGTATACTGATCATAAAATTAAATTCAGTGAATGTTCCTTTATAGTTCATGTGTTACTCAGGCCTGTAAATAGATGCTTTTTATACAACTATCTCTAAAAACTGTTGTAAGGTAAATCATCCTAGAAGCTACTATTTAAAATATAGAATATTGAAGTCTTTATTATATAGCTAACAGGCTGCAGGCTGCCAGTTGTTCAAAGGCCTGCAACATGCAAATACACATAATACAGCTAGGAAACCTGCTAAAAAGGAAAGAAATAACAAAAACAATACCAACAAGCCAATTCAGCTCCAGTGGAGAGCTGAATTAGGATTCCATGATGACTGGAGACGAGACAGGACACAGGACACGATCAAAGGGATATATGTGGCATGGAGTCCTGGCCGCTAGGCTGGTCAGGGCCTAAATAGGTTGGCACAGGGGGCAGATCCTCAGGAAATTCCCAGTCCCAGGCACTGGACTGACAGATTCAGTAACCTATCCGCCAAGTGCCTGCCCTGCCCCTGTCTCCAGGGATCCGGGCACGCCCATTACCTGGGAGGCAGGTGATGGAGAGAGGGGAAGGGGTTCCTTCCTCCAGCATGAAGACAAGATGCCAGACCCTACCATCCACCATGTGGCCAATATGGCATTGGTCAGACCTGATCTCCTTACTTCAATACAAATTGATATTTTTAACAGAAGAATAGGCATATAGCAGTAGGGCAAGTTTACAAAGACCTTTTCTTAAAATATTTTTTCTTGGGCTGGGAAGGTGGCTCAGTGGTAGAGAGCTTGCCTTGCATGCATAAGGCCCTGGGTTTGATTTCTCAGCACCACATAAGCAAAAAGAAAAAGAACAGAAATGGCGCTGTGGCTTAAGTGGTAGAGCGCTAGCCTCAAGGTTAAGAGCTGAGGGACAGAGCCCAGGCCCAGAGTTCAGGCCCCACGACCTGACCCCCCCCCATCCAAAAAAAATAAATATATTTTTTCTTTAATGTATAGGAATAGGGTATTTGAAATTAATATAGGATAGGATATTTGAAATTGATGTTATTATCATCGGTATATATATAGTTAACATGTGGTGTTAACTACATGTTACATGTTAACTATATTTCTAATTAAATACACCTCTGCTGTTCAGCAGTGAGTATGCTAACTATATTGGTATATACTTAAATTGATATTCGTTATCTTACTATCACCGTATGCATTTTAGCAAAACATACAGTGATTATTTTATATAATTAGGTTTCTTCTCTTGTATCAGTTTTGATTAACATGTGAAAAGTGCTCATAGACACCTGATATTATTCCACATGTTACAGTGTTAAGGGTTTTGATTATAGTAAAAGTAATTGTATTTTTGGCTGGGTGTTGGTGGCTCATGCCTATCATCCTAGCGACTCAGGAGGCTGAGATCTGAGGATCATGGTTCGAAGCCAGCACAGGCAGAACAGTCCATGAGACTCTTATCTCCAATTGACCACTAGAAGTGGCGCTGTGGCTCAAGTGGGAGAGTGCTGGCCTTGAGCTGAAATGCTCAGGAAAAACACCCAGGCCCAGAGCCCCATGACTGACTGAAAAAACAAACAAACAGAAAAACAAGTAATTGCATTTTCAAAAAGCTCAATTTAACAATTTCATTGTGTGGATTCTTACTCTCTCAATGATAATTTTCCTTTGGTTGGATAGGGCGAGCTCCTCCTCGAAACACTACAGTAGATCTTAATAGCGGGAACATCGATGTACCTCCCAACATGACAAGCTGGGCCAGCTTCCATAATGGAGTGGCTGCTGGCCTGAAGATAGCCCCTGCCTCCCAGATCGACTCAGCTTGGATTGTTTACAATAAGCCCAAGCATGCTGAGTTAGCCAATGAGTATGCTGGCTTTCTCATGGCTCTGGGACTAAATGGGCACCTTACCAAGCTGGCTACTCTTAATATCCATGACTACTTAACCAAGGTGAGAACTTGTGAATCCAGAGCCTGGAAACTATACTTTACCTGCCTGTTGCATTAGCTCCTAATTGCTTTCTTGTCCTTTTGTCATTCTATGCCTCTAAATCCATCATCTCATAGTAGGCAGAGTAATCTCTTTAATTTATTTTTTTAAATTTTTTTTTATTGTCAAGGTGATATACAGAGGGGTTACAGTTACATAAGTAAGGGAATAAGTACATTTCTTGTCAAACTTGTTACCCTTTCCCTCATTTTTCTCTTACTTTCCCTCCTCTCCCAACCTTGCAGAGAGTAATCTTTCTAAAGTGTAAATTAATGTGTGTCACCTGGTCAGAACTACTTAACTCTCCTAGTGCTCTTAATGTGCTTCTAGGAGGCTGTGTGATCCTACTCTCTCCAGCCTTCCTCTTTGCCATTCTGCCATTGCCTGTCATTTTCCAAGCTTGGCTGCTTTCTTCCTGCCACTCTTGGCTGCTTTCTTCCTGCCACTCTTGGCTGGTGTGAACTTATCCTTCAGGTTACTAGAAATTCCTTCATGTAATCTTTTTTTTTTTTTTTTTGTCAGTCATGGGGCTTGAACTTGGGACCTGGGTGCTGTCACTGAGCTCTTTTGCTGAAGGCTAGTGCTCTACCACTTTGAGCCACCGTGCCATTTCCATTTTTTGAGACTCTTCTCTCCAGTTAAGAGGAGGACTTTTTTGCCCTTGCTGGCTCTGAACTACGATCCTCAGATCTTAGCCTCTGTGTAGCTAGGACTACAGGATTGAGCCAACAGTGCCTGACTTATCTAATCTTTAGAAATTCTTAATAATTCAACCCCTTCTAATTTAAAATATTAGTCTCCTTTAAAATACTATAATTGGTCTGGGAGGGTGGCTCAGTGGTAGAGGACTTGCCTTGCATGCCTGAGGCCCTGGGTTCGATTCATCAGCACCACATAAGCAAAAAGCCGGAAGTGGCGCTGTGGCTCAAGTGGTAGAGCGCTAGTCTTGAGCTGAAGAGCTGAGGGACAGCGCCCAGGCCCAGAGTTCAGGCCCCATGACCGGACCCAAAATAAATAAATAAATAAATAAATAAAATACTATAATTAACTTTGTACTTTCTTGTTGTTGTTGTTTTTTCCTGGTCCTGGGGCTTGAACTTTGTGCCTGGCCTTGTTCCTGAGCTCCTTTTTGCTCAAGGCTAGCACTGTACCATTTGAGCCACACGCCACTTTCAGCTTTTTAAAAAAAAATTAGTTAGAGATAAGTCTTATAGACTTTCCTGCCAGGGCTGGCTTTGAACCATGGTTCTCAGATCTCGGCCTGCTGGGTAGCTAGGATCACAGGTATATGCCATTGGTGCCTAGCTTTCATACTACTTTTGCCCTTCCTTCCTTCCTTCTTTCTTTCTTTCCTTCTTTCCTTCTTTCCTTCCTTCCTTTCCTTCCTCTCTCCCTTCCCTCCCTCCTTCCCTCCCTGGAGCTTGAACTCTGATGCTGTCTCTGGGCTTCTTTTGCTGAAAGTGAGCATTCTACTACTTGAGCCACAGCGCTACTTCCTCATACTCCCTTTTTTTTTTGTCAGTCATGGGGCCTGAACTGTGGGCCTGGGCACTGACCCTCAGCCCTTCAGCTCAAAGCTAGCACTCTACGACTTGAGCCACAGTGCCACTTCTGGCTTTTTCTGCTTACATAGTATTGAGGAATAGAACCCAGGGCCTCATGCATGTGAGGCAAACACTCTACCACTGAGCTACCTTCCTAGCCCTTCTCATACTACTTTTTCATAATAGATTTGTATCTTCTTTTTTTTTTTTTTTGGTCGGTTGTGGGGCCTGGGCACTGTCCCTCAGCTCTTTAGCTATAGACTAGCGCTCTACCACTTGAGCCTCAGCCCCACTTCCGGCTTTTTCTGCTTATGTGGTGCTGAGGAATCAAACCGAGGGCCTCATGCGTGCAAGGCAAGCACTCTATCACTGAGCCACCTTCCCAGCCCCATATTTGTGTATCTTCTGTTTTAACACTTTCCTATTAGATCACTAATGAGACCAAGGACTAGGTATGTTTAGATTGCCACTATCCTCTCAGTGCCTGTCTCATAAAAGTACTTGGCTGAAAATAGTAGATAGTATTTTATTTAAATCTATGCATTTGTTTTGGGATTATTTCTGAAGTTTTATCCCGTTTTCCATTATAGGGCCATGAAATGACAAGCATTGGACTACTACTTGGTGTTTCTGCTGCAAAACTAGGCACAATGGATATGTCAATTACTCGTCTTCTTAGCATTCACATTCCTGCTCTCTTACCCCCAACGTCCACAGAGCTTGATGTGCCTCACAATGTTCAGGTGGCTGCTGTGGTTGGCATTGGCCTTGTGTATCAGGGGACAGCTCACAGACATACTGCGGAAGTCCTGTTGGCTGAAATAGGTAAGGGTTGGTAAGCCTATTCCTGAGCCCCAGTGGTCGTATATGAGTATATATTTTATACTACTGCATCTTTACCCTGTCTGTAATGTCCCAGTGTTTATTCTTTTGGACAGTAGCACTTGAAAGTGATTGATTTCTACAACCTATATTTTTTCCCCTCCTGTATGTGTATTTTTAATCATCTCTAGATCAGTGATAAAACCAAATGCAGTATAAATACTTGTTGGTACGGTGTTGTTAAGGGAATGACAAGAAAAATAGTCTATATGTTTAGTATTGTAGGTAAAGTGTTTTACCCACAGTTGGTTGAATCCTGGATGCAGAACCTGTATATATGGAGGGCCAACTGTATCAATGACAGAGTTTAGTTTATGAGTTAGGAACAGTAACATTAACAACAACAATAATAAGATGGAACACTTATAATAATATTTCACAACCAAAGTTCCTTAAAAGTTATAAATTTTTGTTTCTGGCTTTCATTTATTATTGGATTGTGCCTAATTGCCAGGAAGTGAAACTGAAAAGCAAAACTTTGGTTAATGAGAATTACTGTATTTCACAATGGATTGTTGAAGAAACATTGTTTTTTGATAAAATTGCCCTTTAATACAATTTTGATCTGTTAGCTCTTGCCACTGTAATACTAAACAACCAACTACAAAATTGACTTGGTTGGCTCTGCTTCAAGGCTGTAGATCTGCAGGTCACCTGCTGTGGTGTTTTGCCTCAGGCCTGATAAAGAAATTGACAGAATTGAACTATTCCTGTCAAATTATGTAATACCATAAGTAGTTGAGCTTGAAAATACTCAAAAAATATCCAGCTTTTTGTATCCAATATACAAGATTTCATGGTGTAGATACCATTTGGGATAATACTATACTGAGTATACTCATAATGAGTGTATATCTTTTACGCATCCTGGAAGGTAGCTCTGTAAAAATGTTTACAAGTTAGGATCTTAAGAGGCTGCCTTGACCTGGGTTGCTCTCTCGTTACAGGGCGGCCTCCTGGTCCTGAAATGGAGTACTGCACTGACAGAGAGTCATACTCTTTAGCTGCTGGCCTGGCTCTGGGCATGGTTTGCTTGGGGGTAAGCAGAGTCTATACCTTCTTGTTCTTCAGTTAGGATATCTGTATGTTGATATGAATAACTTTGACACTTAACTCAAAATGTCATTCTAAACTAAGCTAGACTAAACTTGTTGCCCAGACCTTCTTTCAGTATTTTTCAAAGTACTGTTTGTGAATAAGAAGATGTGAAAGTGACAGCACCTCCCAACAGAAAAGTAGTGAAAGCATGTATAATGGGGAACCTTAAAAATCTGCAGTGATTGCTAGAAATAAACCCAAGCCTTTGTTCACTGTTTACCCTGTTGAGTTGCTATAGTAACATTTGCTTTGTGAGGCATCAGGTTGTCCTGTCTTTAACTTTGCTAAAGAGACATATACAGAATTAGCAAAATTATTTTTAAAATAATTATTTCACTTGGAATATAGTTCCCTTAAACAAACCTCCAGTACAGTCTGATGGTCAAGAAAGTTCTGATGAATGTGTTTTCTTCTCTGTTCATTTTGAATATCTACCCAGTGTTTGGCTGCCTGTTGAGGTTCTGACTTTACATCTCATATATGAGCTAAAGAGGCATGTGCTACAATGGAAAAGCATCATACTGAGGATTGGGACCTGAATCTTTTGGTCCTCATTACATTATTGTAATTATTAAAGAGCCCCATCGACTGTTGAGCCTTATTTTATATCTAGCCCTGTCATTTAAGAGCTTGGTAACCTTGAACCTTATACCTTTTACACATCTCATTCCTAATCTTTAAAATGGGATTCTTGTTAGTAGCCATTAGGTAGGGCTGTTGAATTAAGTAACTCATGTTCCTGGCATGAAGCAAGCATCTGTAACCATTATAATTAATGTTAATGGAAAAATTCACAGGTGTTCAAGTGTTCATAGATCAGATTACAGTTACTGAAACATTTACTGAAACATGTATGTTTTGAAGCTTTAATGTATTTTATGAAGTGAAAGATAAATATAATTTTATGAGATTGTCACAAATAGTGTGAATATTAACTTGTGAATAAATGTTTATTTGGAAATGTAAGCAAAATAAAAATAGAAAAACTAAATTAATAAAACTAAAATACCTTGCTTTGAAGTTAGTTCTTTCTTTGTCATAAGTATGTGTTACAGATTTCTTCTACAGGATTTCTTTTCACATCTGTTACTTTGTTTTCCAGCATGGTAGTAATTTGATAGGTATGTCTGATCTCAATGTGCCTGAGCAGCTGTATCAGTACATGGTTGGAGGTCATAGGCGCTTTCAAACTGGAATGCACAGGGAGAAACATAAGTCCCCAAGTTACCAAATCAAAGTAAGTTCAAATCAGAGTAACACAGGGAAATGTCAGAAGCTAAAAACTTAATTTAACATTTGTAAATATACTCATTGTTAAGCATAGGCTGGTGCTGGTGTTCAGAAATTTTTATAACTCAGAACTCTTACATAAATACCTTTTCTTTGAACAGGAAGGAGATACCATAAATGTGGATGTGACTTGCCCAGGTGCAACTCTAGCTTTGGCTATGATCTACTTAAAAACCAATAACAGGTATTTGCACCTAAATTTGTCCCTTACCATGACTCTGTGACATGCTTTCTGACCTGAAATTATTTGTATGTTATCTCTTCTTTGCTGGAGCAGCTTGATGTCCGCTCTCCCTAAATCAGTTCTGCTGACTTTATCTAGAAAGAAAATGTTTATCTAGAATTTATATATTTGGCTATATTAATGCTATTTGACACCAAAATCCAGGAATCCTTAGTTCTCTTATATCACATGGCATAGTATTTTTATAAAATCTATGCCTATCCTGCTTGTACTTTAAATCATTGTTAGATTACCTGCAGTATGTAATATTATATAAATGTCTATCCTACTTTATTGTTTATGGAATAATGACAGAAAAAAAGACTGGGTGCCAGTGGCTCATACCTGTAATCCTAGTTATTCAGGAGGTTGATCTGAAGATTGTGGTTCAGAGCCAGCCCAGGGAGGAAATTATGTGAGACTCTTTATCTCCAATTAACCACCAAAAATCTGGAAGCTGTGTGGCTCAAGTAGTACATTGTGAGCCTGGAGCAAAGAAAAATCTCAGGGGCAGTGCCTTAAGCCCTGAGTTCAAGCCTCAGGACTAGCACAAGAAAAAACAAAAGAAAAAAGACTATATGTTTAATATACTTACAGGTTTTTTCTCCCTCTATATATTTTCAAAAGAATGCAGAATTCTTTTTATGTGGTTTGTAATTAATGTCACCGCCACAACAACGGTGCCTGTTTCTTTTCATTCATTTTGCATTTCTTTGTGAAGGTTTGGTGAAATCCAAAGTAGTTTCCACTTATAAAAATGGTATCTACTTAGTTCCAAAGCTTTTCTAATGACTAAACCTACCTTCCCAGTCTCCTGTAAGCTTAACATTTGAAAGTAGGTTTTTGGCATTTGTTACTATCTTTTGCATAGAGGAATACATTGTGTAGAAGATATATACAATGTTTTGATAAGTTTTATTTAAAAAAATACTCGAGGTTTATGAAATCTCAGTATTCTGAATTCATCCTTTTAGAAAAGTTATGTAAAGAATTATCAAAGTAATAGAAATATATATTCATATATTATTTCTATGAATGTGTATGTTGGAGATATTTCATTGAGCAAAACAAAACTTTGGTTGATCCATCTGCCCTCAACGGAACTTACGTAAGTCATAAGACGTACATTATATTAGTGAGTTGAATAAAACAGGTTGATTGGTAATGTGAGAAGAAAGGGTTTGAAATAAATCTTGAGACTCTTGTTTACCTTGTCCTGTCCTTAAGCACTAACCTTCACTGCTGGCTCCCACCAACAGATCCATTGCAGATTGGCTCCGTGCTCCTGATACCATGTACTTGCTGGACTTTGTGAAACCAGAATTTCTTTTGCTTAGGGTATGGTGCTTTGTGGTTTTTCATTCCTGATAACTTGTCAAACTTAACTTGTGATTGTGTAATGTTCTTTTGAAACTTAACAAATTTAACTTTAGGAGTTTTAGAAAGGGTGATCTTGTGATTGTGTAATGTTTTTTGAAACTTAACAAATTTAACTTTAGGAGTTTTAGAAAGGATGATCACGTGTGTATATATAATATTTAGAATGACATTTCAGCTTCTCAAATTATTATGTAAAATGTCCTAAAAAGCAAAACTAGAATTTTATTGTTTTATTTTACAGCTTAAAAATTATGATTAATGCTGATAAGGATAATAAGGATAATAGCTGTTTGTCAGTTACCTGAATTTTTTTGTTTGTTCTTTTTTAATACCTAAACTTACTATGTTAAAACTTATAAATTATCATGTGCAGACAGTGATACAATTCTTGCCTTTTGTGATTTTTTTTTTGGGGGGGGTCCGGTTGTGGGGCCTGAACTCTGGGCCTGGGAGCTGTCCCTCAGCTTCTCAGCTCAAGGCTAACGCTCTACCACTTGAGCCACAGCACTACTTCTGGCTTTTTCTTTTTGCTGATGTGGTGTGGAGGAATTGAACCCAGTGCCTCAGGCATGCAAGGCAAGCGCTCTACCACTGAGCCACCTTCCTAGCCCTGTGATTTAAAAAAAAAAAAAATAGAATTTTTCTTTTATCAGCAAATGAAAAATCTCCAGTCCTTAATGATGGTCAACTTGGTTTTAGTTTTAATTTTTTTTAATACTGAGTCTGTATTTTAATGAATAGCTTAAGTAGATGCTATATACTTAGTTATTTTTCTAAATTGTCATCAGCGAGGATGTGATTATTAGTGACCTTAATAATACCAGTGTTACAAAATTTATGCACTTTGCCTGCTCTAATTAATTTCATTTGTGATTCATTTTTAAGACACTTGCACGATGCTTGATTCTGTGGGATGATATTTTACCAAATTCCAAGTGGGTTGACAGCAATGTTCCTCAAGTAAGTACAAATTAGACATACACACAAATACACACACACACACACAAACACAGTATTGGGGTTTGTACTCATACTTGCTCATCTTGCTTTCTTGGCTGTCATTCTATCATTTAAACAACATCTCTAGTCCTACTCTTATTTAGAGATGGAGTATCCTGAATTTTTCTGCCTGGGCTGGCCTTGGATTGTCATCATCTTAATCTCAGCCATCCAAGAATGTAGGATTATAGGTATGAGCCATTAGTGCTCAGCAATCTTATGTTTTAATAACATAAATTTTTTTGTAGGATTTTTCAAGACTTTATAAAATATTTTCTCTTGTGAAGGAAATTTAATCAAACCATCTCTTTTGAAGAGAAGAAAGTTTCATTTTAATATTACATTCTGAATACTATTACATTTTGGCCCTGCTTCTCTAGAGATAAAGGTGGTTTGTGTGAGTGTGTGTGTGTGTGTGTGTGAGTGTGAGTGTGTCAGTCTTGGGGCTTGAACTCAGGGCCTAGGCACTGTCCCTAAGCTTGTCCCTAAGCTTCCTTCACTGAAGGCTAGCACTCTACCACTTGAGCTGCAGTGCCCCTTCCCGCTTTTTCTGTTTATGTGGTACTGAGGAATGAACCCAGTGCTTCATGAATGCTAGGCAAGCACGCTACCACTAAGCCACATTCCCAGCCCCTAAAGGTTTTTTAAATATTAAACACACTAAAGTCTTGTAAAAGTTTTTAATTTTATTCTTTTGGAGGTAGTTGGAATTGAACACAGGATCTAGAGCCATGCTCTTCTCTCTTTTGTATTGGTGATTTTACAAGTGGGATTTTGCTGTATACCAGGGTCAACCTAGGCTACAGTCCTTTTACTTGTAGTTCCCTGCGTTACTGGAGGTGACAGGCATGCCATTTCACTCAGGCATTCATTGAGGTGGAGTCTCTTGAACTTTTATGTCTGGGCTGACTTTGAACCCTGATCTTTTGATCTCTATTTAACAAGTAGGTAAGATTATAGGTTCAAGCTCCATACCTAGCTAAAACAGTTTTGAGGTTTTTTAATTTTTTTATTTTCTTTTTGTACTGGGTCTGGGATTTTAATGTAGGGCCTGGCACTGTCCCTGAGCTTCTTTCACTCAAGACTAGCACTCTACTACTTGAGCCACACAACTCCCCTTCTGGTTTTTTTTATTTTTTTTTTATTTTTTTATTTTATTTTATTTTTTTTAAATTTTTTATTGTAAAGATACTATACAGAGGGTTACAGTTACATGAGTGAGGTAATGAGTACACTTCCTCTTGAACATTGTTAGCCCCTCCATTGTTTTC